AGAGAAAGCCTGCTACCAAAGGTGGCCTGCCTGGCATGCACACAGTCCTCGGTTTGACTGACCGCACTCTTTAACCTGGCTGTGGTGGTCCACCCTCATGATCCCAGCACTCAGGAGGTGGAATCAGGAGGTTAGAAGTTCAAGGTCAGGCGAACAAGGTGAATCAGCCAGTATAGCTACTTGCCATCAGGTCTGATGACCTTAGTTCAATCCCCAGGACCCAACATGGTGGAGAGAACTGACTCCTGAAAGTTGTCCTCTGGTCTCCATACACATGCTAAGGCATGCTCAAGAGCTCTCATACATATACACACTAAAGAGATAAATAAACATAAAAAAGTTCAAGGCCACCCCTAGCTGTACAGGAAGTTTGTGGCCTGGCCTCGATACAGAAGACTCTGTCTAAAAACAAAACCGGAAACGGGACCCGTGAGATGTCTCTTTGGGTAAAGGCCCTTCTTACCAAGTGTGAGGACCTGAGTTCAATCCCAGAGACTCACATAGTCTAAGAAGAGTGGCTCCATGCTAGGGTGTTGACCGGCTTGATCCGGTTCAGGTTTTGTGCAGGCAGCCACAGCTGCTGAGTTCGTGCATGCAAAGGTCCTACCCAGAAGACACTGCTTTGCTTCTGACTCACGGTTCTTGCAATCTTTTCACTCTCTCTTTCATGGTGTTTCCTGAGCCTTGGGGAAGGGAGTGTAACATAGACTCGCCGTTTATGGCTGAGGGCTCCACGGACATTTGTTCTCCGCAAAGGTTCTCTGATGAGGATGGAGAACTAGTCTGGCCTGTGGGCACAGGATGCATATTCAAAGGCAGTTTGATACTACGGCCCTTTGACAAAGTAATAGGAGTAGATTCACCCTTAGAGCTTATGAGCTCCCCAGCCCATTTACAGCACCAGGCATGAATTTCCTTAGGTGGAGTGGGCCTTAAATCCAGTAAGAAAGTGGTTGCTACCTCCACAGCATTCATGCCATGATTGAACCAACGGACCTACCTCACCAGGCCGGCTGGTATTGTAGCTTGCAGGGTTCACAGAGGAGTAAGACTGTTGATGAGTGCCCCCTTCCCCTCCCCCAGCACCTGATAGCACTTTCCAGGACTATGGCAGCTAGCCAGCAGGGAGGAAGCTTCCAGGCAAGTACTAGTTTGATTTCTCCCAGTCCTGTGACCAAGTATGTGATATCTTTAGCTACAGGGCCTTACCATCATGTTCTGGTGGGCACTTGAGAGCAATGACAATAGCTTGTGTTGTTTTTGAGGTCCTCTCATTGTTCTGGGACCCCCTTAACCCACAACTTAAGGGGGGTATTCCAAACACTGAGATTTTTCTTTTGCATCTTATGGCTTCTGGAATTAACCCCCATGTTGGGTAACTCCATTTAAACTTTTTTTTTTGTTGTTGTTGTGTGTGTGTGTGTGTGTGTGTGTGTGTGTGTGTGTGTGTGTACATGTGTATAGTTTTATAAAATAGTAGGTTTCAATATGGCTTTTTCAAATATCCTTAGTGTTAGTTATGCTTACCCCACCCTTCCTCACTTAACCTCCGTTCCCCCTCTCCCTTTATAAGCTGTGTCCTACCATCCCCTCCCCCATAACATCTTCCCTTTCAGGCTGCTTTCTAACTTCCTGGTTTCTACAGATATTCCAAGTTAAACGTTCAATTTGAAAGATTTGACAGTGGAATCCACATACGAGAGAGAACATGCAGTGTTTGTCTCTCTGGGCCTGGCTTACCTCACCTGGTATTGTTTTTTCCAGTTCCACCAATCCACCGGAAAATTTAATAGTTTAATTTTTCTCTATAACTGAATGAAATTTCGTTGTCTATATGCATCACATTTTTATTATCCATCCATCAGTTGATGGACATCTATGCTGTTTCTGTGTGGCAACGATTGCTCCCATTCTGTAGGCTGTCTCTTCAGTTGATTAAGTTTCCTTTTCAGTCAGGGAACTCTTGAATTTCACAAAATCCCACATGCTGTTATTGGTCCTGTTTCCTGTAGTGAGTCTTTCTTTGGACAGCCAGCTCCCAAATAACAACACGGAGACCTTTTATTAGTTATGAAACCTTGGCCTTAGCTTAGGCCTGTCCCACTAGCTCTTAAAACTTAAATTAACCCATTGATATTAATCTACGTTCTGCCGTGTGGCTCTTAACCTCTCCTCAGTACCTTATGTCTGGCTTCCTCTGTGTCTGACTGGCAAATTCCACACACCTCAGATTATTCCCAGAGTTTCTATCTCTGCCTGGAAGTCCTGCCTACCCTCTCTTGCCTAGCTCTTGGATGTTCAGTTCTCTATTGAACCAATCAGAAGGTACCTTAGGCAGGTGAGGCAAAAGAGAGACATTTACACAGTATACAAAAAGATTATCCCAACAGTTTCCTGCATGACTAGGGTCCTATCCAGAAAGTTCTTACCTGAGCCTATGTGCTGTAGTGTTCACCCTATGCTTTCCTACAGAAGTTTTGGAGTTTTAGGTTTAATATCAAGATCTTCGGTCTGTTTGGAACTGATTTGCATATATGCAGAGTGAGAGAAGAGTCAAGGTTTATTCTTCTACACCTAGATATGTAGTTTCCCCAACATCATTTGTTAGAGATGCTGTCTTTTCTTGAATGTATGTTTTTGGCATCTTTGTGATAGGTGTATGGACTTACATCTAGGTCCTTGAGTCTATTCTATTGATTGGTGAATCTATTTTTGTGCCAGCACCACGCTGTTTTTACTATGATGGCTCTGTAGTATAACTTGCTATCGGCAATGGCGATGCCTCTGGCAGCATTTTTATTGTTCAGGATTGTTTTGGCTACACAGGGTCATTTGTGCTTCCATATGAGTTTTCAGATTGTTTATCAAATTTATGTGAAGAATTGCATTACACTTTTGACAGAGACTGCATTCAATATGTGGAATGCTTTTGGTAAATGGCTACGCTCACCACATAAATTTTACCAACCCACGTGCTTATGAGGTGTCTCTGGTGTCTTCTTCAGTTTCTCTCAGTGTTTTAAAGAATGCATGTGAAGGATTTCTGTGAAAGTGCATGTGGAGTTCAGAGGTCAACTTTGGATGTTTCTCCTCAGGCCACCCACTTGGTGTCCTGTCATAGAGTCTCTCCTAAGCCTGAAACTTGCCAAGTACACTAGATTTCTGGCTAGTAAAACCAAGGAAGCTTCCAACTCTGCCTCTCCAGAGGAGGGATTAAAGCCTGCTGCACCCTAACCAGCTTTTTCACATGGTTTCTCTGGATAGCACTCAGGTCCTCAAGCTTCCATGGCAAGCACTACACCAACTGGGCCTTGACTGGACCATGGCCTCCCGCTTGGTTCTTTAGGTAGAAAACAAACACACTGAGAAGATTAGCTTCTGGATCAATCCTCCAGAGACTCATGCCAGAGCACCAAGATAAAGTGAGTTCCACTGAGGCCTCTCCCAACAGAAGAGACTGTGGGGTTGGAAATACCCTGTGCCTCATCAATGCCACCCCAGGGCAGGATTATACAGAGAGCCCTGTTCACAGGAAACGTCCTTCTGTCAGGGAAGCATGCCTTAAGACTGGGGATCTCTTCAGGGGAGTAGGGGAAAGTCTCCCTGCCAACAATACACTTTCCTGACCTAAGATGGGTGGAATAGCTACTTCTCAGCCTTCTGCCTGAGATTAAGTGAGCTGGATGCTATGTGGTGAGACATGTTTGCTCTTGGGAACCTTAGGATGAAGTTGGCCCTCACCATTGCTGATGTGGAATGAGCTAATGTACCATCTTTTCCTCACACACAGGGTCCCTTTGTCTTTAGAGCCCAAAGAGATGGAAAACAAGAAAATGCCTGTGTGTCTCAGAAACAGCATTGGGGACACAGGGCACCTGGGAGGAACCCGAGAGGTGGAAGAAGGTGAGAGGGAGGTAGAGGCACACTGGGGACAGCCTCCCCAGTCCAGGATGGGCTACTCCCCCTACCCCCACCCCCTCAGTCCAGGAAGAGGCCATTCAGCTGGCAGCAGAGCCCTGCTCTCCATCTCTCAGCCTTTGGAGCCCTTTAGCAAGGGAACTCCCTAGACTTCATTCCTGCCAGGAGGTGGGGGCCCACTGCTCCTGCAGCCTCACGCTGGTCACACACACCTTGGCCTTCATGGGTTGCACTGAGGAGTCAATGATAAATGCACACAGCATGTTGAAGCATGGTACTGGTGCAATCCTACAGATGCCATCTCCTCCTCCAAGAGTTTCCCAGACAACAGCATCCAGCTGAACTTGATTTCTCTCTTCCAGCTGCATAATTCTCAAGGTGGGATCTTGTCTTCTTCTTTTTTTTTTTTTTGTTTTTCGAGACAGGGTTTCTCTGTGTAGCTTTGCGCCTTTCCTGGAACTTGCTTTGGAGACCAGGCTGGCCTCGAACTCACAGAGATCCGCCTGGCTCTGCCTCCCGAGTGCTGGGATTAAAGGCATGCGCCACCACTGCCCGGCCTGGGATCTTGTCTTCTTGGTCCATGGTCGGGAGTGTTCAGAGGACCACAGATGAAGACAAATCTGAGTGCCTGATTCCCAGAGAGGAAGGCCCCAGAGGCCAGGAGAGCAGGCTCTTCATCAGCAAGGGCCCTGCCCAGGCGGCTGGAAATGCACCAACCAAGGGAAGGACACGGGCCAGGAATAGCAGAGGTGACCCCAAACCTCACACCTCCCACAAAGGTGACAGGGAGAAGCACTGGGCTCTGGCTTTATTTCAGGCCAACTCATCTACTCAGGCGGAATGGCTGGAGGGTGCTGGGCAGTGTTTCCCCTCTTCTGAGGGTGCAGAGCACATACCCAAGATGATGGAGGGAATGAGGAGGGTGGGCATGGCCAGCAGGAGACATCCTGAGCCTTAGATGTCACCCATGATTACAGGCTCAATTCATGTCACAGTCCCTCCTTAGCCCCCACCCCCAGCTCGTCCTGTGAGACAGACATGGCTGAAAGTCAGAGGTCACTGTCGTGTAGTTTCATGGTCTGTCACCCAAATGACCTCTGTGTGACAGCAAACAACACTGTGAAGACCAGGGTCTTAATGAAGAGTCCACAGGCCACGGGAACAATGATGCTGGATATGGAGACCCTGCGGAGAGAGGAGATGGAGGGTTGATTCAATGACCGCCCACACTGCAGAGTCTGGGAAATTCTTCCCATCCAATCTTTTCAACTCAGGTCCTTCCTGCAGCTTTCCCACAGCCTTTGGGAACAGTTTAGATGATCACTTCCTAAAATAAGCAGTCAGAAATATGTTTGGTAGAAAGTCTAGAGTTCAGGTCCAGGAGATGCATAAAGGAGGAAGTGTTAACCCAGGCATCTTGGCCTCCTCTGTGGAATGGAGTGAGGCCCATATCTAGGGAACCTGATCCTCGTTGTCAGCATTCTGACCTGCTTCTGGGGACAGTTGACATACCTTTAACCCCATTTTCCCTCTCCAGAAACCAAGAAGAATCCAACCTTACTGAAAACTCCACTGCAGAGTTGTCATGATTTTAGCAAAATGATTCTCCAAGTTCCAGGTAGACAGCAATAGACATAAAAGAGACCCACACAGGAGTGAGTGAGTGAGTGAGAGAGAGAGAGAGAGAGAGAGAGAGAGAGAGAGAGAGAGAGAGAGGAGAGAGAGAGAGAGAGAGAGGACACTGGGCCGACGGGGAAGGGGGTGAGGACACGGTGCTCTACATGATAGGACACAGGGACAAAAGGACTAGGTGACAAGGAATCACACAGAGGCCACATAGAGTACTAGGAAATAAAGGCTGTCCAAACCAGGAGCCCAGAAAACATACCTGGTAACAGTTGTCACATCTGGGAAGGTGACTCCAGGGTCAGGAGAAGAGACACCAGCTGTGGACTTGGGGAAGGGTTGGGTCACAGTCCTGTCTCTCGGCAGGTGTTTTGTGGTAATAAGGATGGGAGCTTTAGTTGGACTTGTAGTAGGAGTGACGCTTAGGGTGGGCAGACCTGAAGAATCTGCAAAATACACAAGCGTTAGATAAATGAATGAATGGACGTAGAATGGACAGGTGCATGGATGGAGGGATAGATGGATGGATGGATGAGGAGGTGAAGAGAAATGGAGCTGAGGAGAATGAACATGGCCATTCAAAAAGCAAGGTTTTCTTTTACTAAAATTGAAAGAAATAGTGTAAAGTCAACCTGAATCAGAGAGAGAAAAAAAATGAATGGAAAAAGAAAGGAGGGAGGCTGGAAAGAGGTGTGAAGAAGACTTCTCAGGTTGTCTGAGTTATGGAAATGTTCTCATCTGCTGTTGTTCACCTCTCCATCTCCCATTCTCCTGCTTACACCGTTCTCTCTACCTCCAAAAGTCACGTCCTCTAAAAGTTGTCTTTACTGGTGTATTACATCTGAGCTTCCTCTTGGACTTGGTACGGACTCCCTAGTTCTAGGAAGGGAGGCCTGTTTCTCTTTTCTCTGCCATCCTTGATCATCCACTGTCACTCGCTAGGGATGTAGAGCCCAGCAAGGCACCAGCTCTTCCTCAGTGAGTTCAGAGATTCATAGGAGGGACTTGTAAGTACACTGGTCACCACTGAAGTGAGCCTAGACACTTGTTCCTCCTAAGCAAGTGTCACTTCAGGTCTCCTGAGCCAGGGTCTGATGTGAAATAGGGACTTCAGGTGGTTCATGCCCACAGCAAGTCTGAGATACACAGTTTAGAAGGCCATGGCGGCCACCAATGGCATCTTGGAAGGAGGAGAGTACATTACAAGAGCTTCCTAAGGACATGACTTCTAAGTAGAGATTTGGGAAATGGAACCCATTTATATTCCAAGCCTACTGCTCATCTTTCACTGAACCCTGCTACCCAAGGGGAATTCATGTATAGGAGTGCCTGCTTGCCATTGGCCTGCAGTGGCCCTCAGATGAAGATTCTGAGAGAATGTCAGGCTACTAGAAACCCTGGGCTCCAATGCATCCTCACCTGACCTAGCTCTCTCTACCCTCTTAGAGCTGGAGCTCTGTAAGCCTGAAAGGATGGCTGAGCTCTGTAAGAAATGGTTTCCCTAAAACTTAGCTGAGTTGTGTCTTGTTTTTTAACTGCAAGAGCCACATGACATGTGGTCCATGGAAGTCAAACTTTGTGAATGATCCTGTGTTTGTGTGTAGACATTGCCATGTGAATATGGATGCACACGTGTGCAAGAGTTTACATGCATGTGGAGACTAGAGGTCAGCCTCATGTGTCATTCTTCAGGATACCTTACTTTTTTGAGGCCGAGTTTCTCACTTTTTACTTGAAATGCACTGCTTTGGCTAGGCTGGCTGGCCAGTGAACCCCAGGCATCCACCAGTCTCCACTTCCATTATTAGCGTAGCCCACCATGATAGGCTTTTTTTTTCTAATGTTGTTACTGAGAACAGAACTCAGGATAGAACTCATGCATGCATGTCAAGCACTGTACCACTGGGCCGTCTCCCCAGCCCTACATGTCCTGCACTTGAATGTGTCACACACTTTTGACATCTGTCTTAGGATTTCCATTGCTGTGAAGAGACACCATGACCCCAACAACTCTTATAAAGGAAAACATTTAATTGGGGCTGGCTTACAGTTCAGAGGTTTAGTCTAGTATTGTTATTGGGGAAGCATGGGGGTATGCAGCCAGACATGGTGCTGGAGAGGTAGCTGAGACTTCTACATCTGGATCCACAGGCAGTAGTGTGGTGGTATTTTACTTGTACTGAAATGTGATTTTAATTGTATGTTAATAAATAAAGTTGTCTAGGGGTCAGAGCTATTGGAGCCATATAAGTGCGTGGCGGCGGTGGCGCACACCTTTAAGGACCTGGAGGGCGGTACATTCAGGCAGTGACGAGGCAGTCACATGTTTGGGTTTACAACCAATGAGAAGCAGAACAGGAAGACTTTAAAGACAGACACACAGGAAGTAGGCCTTTTCGGAGAGCTCTCTTGGCTGGAGAGGATCCCTGAATCAGAAAGGGTGAGGCTCTTAGCTCTGACCTCTTGGCTTTCTTCTCTGAATTGGCTCTGTGTTTCTTATTTTATAAGACCGTTGGTTACATCTACATTTGGTGCCCAACGTGACAAGAATCCATTAAAAACCGCTTAACTTGGCTTGGCGGCAGGTCCGGTCTCCCGCCCGGGCGGCTGGCAGGTCACGTTTCCCGCCAGGGCAGCCGGCTCCCTAGCCCGGGCCCAGGTCGGCTTGGCCTCAGGCCGGACTAACTTTGAGCTACTTGCTTAAAGCCGGTGCTACAGACAATTCAGGCCTGCCCTGCCGAACAGGGCCCCTGCCTGTAAAGCCAACACACGTGGTTGGAGCTTAAGGTAGCCAGAGCCAAGGCTTGACTAGGCTCAAGCGGGAACACGTGGCTGGATTCAAGTTCTTAGGCAGAACTTGTGGCTACGGTTCTTGCGTGTTCTCTCTCTCTCTCTCTCTCTCTCTCTCTCTCTCTCTCTCTCTCTCTCTGGATTCACACCTTGGACACTAGGAGGCTGTTTTGAAATTCCCTTGGATTGGTACTGTTCTACGAGGACTTGGTAAGTCACTTAACATATTGAATATTTTTTTTTTTTTTTTTTTTTTTTTTTTTTTTTTTTGGTTTTTCGAGACAGGGTTTCTCTGTGTAGCTTTGCGCCTTTCCTGGAACTCGCTTTGGAGACCAGGCTGGCCTCGAACTCACAGAGATCCGCCTGGCTCTGCCTCCCGAGTGCTGGGATTAAAGGCGTGCGCCACCACCGCCCGGCCATATTGAATATTTTAAAGGAAACTATTTAAAAGAGAAATTTTTCCACATTTAAAAAAAATGGGTTTTCTGTGTTCATTGGAAGAAAATTGGGCTTTGTTTGCAATTTTAGACAGTCTGACAATGGAACAGCTATATGAGAAGATTAATGTTGACCGAATTATGCTTTTTATTACTATGCTTATTCTCATTTTACTATTTAAAAAGATAGTCAATTTAAGTGCCAGGATGACAGCTTTAGAAAAACTTGATAAACCTGTAAAAACTCAGACAGAAGAAACTAACAGTGAAGTTGCTTCAAGATTGGATCTTAGGGTTACAGAAAGAAAGCCTGTTTTCACACAGTCACCCAGTTTGTCCAGTAACCGTACAGCAGTTGCCTGATCAAATGACTACACAAAATATTTGGGCTCCAATTGAAATGTTAGATTTACGAAGGTTTAAGGAGGCAATAGTATCTTATGGCATGCATTCCCCGTATGTAAAGCAAATGTTAAACTCTTGGTCAACATATAATAGGATTGTACCACAGGATTGGCGGGAGCTGGCACAAGCTGTTCTTGAACCCAGTCAAAGGCTTCAGTGGCTAACTTGGTTCAAGGATGAAGCTAAAAACATAGAAAAACAGTGGAGGGATAAAGGAATACAAGTCTGCCAGGATCAGCTTATTGGAGAAGGTCAATATGCTTCAGCACAAGCACAATGTTTATATGATGTCCAAACCCTAATTTTATGTCGAACAGCAGCCTTGAATGCATGGGATAGAGTTGAGGAACCAGGAAAAAAAACTGAGTCATTTACAAAGGTTGTACAAGGCCCAAAAGAATCTTTCACAGATTTTTTACAAAGACTGGCTTCAGCAGTAAAGAGAATGGTCCCGGATTCAGAAGCTAGTAAGATAATAATTGAGTCTTTGGCCTTTGAGAATGTGAATGCAGCATGCAAAACAATAATCAGGCCGTTAAAGGCAAGATCTGCACCTTTGGAAGATTGGATTAGAGACACGGTTAATGTTGAAGCTCATGAGCATGATGATACGTGGGTAGGAGAAGCAATTTCAAGAGGTTTGAGGAATGTTAGATGTTTTGGATGTGGAAAGCAAGGACATTTGAAAAGGGACTGTAAACAGGTCATTCCTAGAAACAATGTTTCTTCAAGGAACAATGGCAACAGACTGCCCCTTCCTTCTGGAGTATGCAGAAGGTGTGGTAAGGGAAAACACTGGACCAACTAGTGTAGATCAACAAGGGACAGACAGGGTAATACTTTGCCTCAGTCTTTGGGAAACTCCCAGAGGGGCCTCATACAGGCCCCAATAGCAAATCCAGTTCAAACCTTTCCTGCAGTCGTAGAGGAAACCCCAACTCAGAACAATTAAATAACCAAATGCCTATTGGAATAAGTCATGCTGGTCAGGATGATGAAACAGAGAGAATAGAAAATTCAGGAGAAAACATAAAGAAAATTTTTTGGCAAACTTCTATTAATGAACAAAGACCAAAATTATCGATAAAAATAAATGGTGTTTTGTTGTCTGGTCTGGTAGACACAGGTGCGGACGTTACCATAATTGCACCAGAATTTTGGCATCCAACTTGGCCTCTTCAGGAGGTAAACATTCAACTGTTAGGAATTGGGACATTATCTCAGGTGAAACAGAGTGCAAGATGGCTCGAATGTATAGGTCCAGAAGGACAGAGAGCAAAATTAAAACCATATGTGGCTAACATAGCTATGAACCTGTGGGGTCGTGACTTGTTACAACAATGGAATACTCAGATTAACATCCCTCCAATCTCAGAAACAAATCATAAACTAGCACATGTTTCTGAGAGAAATATTAGAAGGCATTATTCTGAGTGGTCACCAGCCATCCATATTATACAAGAACAGGGCACAACAACTGATGATCTTCCAAAGACATCTCTACCTTTAAAATGGTTAACAGACAAGCCTGTATGGGTCCAGCAATGGCCTTTAACAACAGAGAAACTCCAGGCTTTAGAAGAGCTGGTAGAAGAACAGTTAAATGCTCAGCATATTGAAGAATCAACCAGCCCTTGGAATTCTCCTGTATTTGTTATTAAGAAGAAATCTGGTAAATGGAGAATGGTAACAGACCTTAGAGCAATTAACAAAGTAATTCAGCCAATGGGCTCTCTACAATCTGGAATTCCTTTGCCTACTCTGTTACCAAAAGGATGGCCTCTCATAGTTATTGATTTAAAAGACTGTTTCTT